AGATGTCAGTTACCTGGTGGATCTCTTAAGCAGCTGCTGCCACTATGCCACTCACTCCAGAACTTGCCAAGATTCATGGCATAGGAGGGAAACAAGCTGGCACAGTGCCATCCAACTACCTCAGTTCATACAGATTACTGCCAACACCTTGCTTCAGGGCTTTGAGGGACATAAACAATAGACCTTCAACAGAATACTGGAGATCCCTTGATTTAAATACATTTACCTATTTTTTATTTTTGCAGTGATTAGGATTCTAAGTGTTTTTTTAAACTTACAATGCATTTGTCAAAGTTCCTTTTGACAGTCACCAAAACATTTCCCAACGTAGTACTCAGAAAAGAAGCAGGGTCCACATTTTGGGCAGTCCACACATGATGACTCATTTTGACTAGCATGTAAAGGGAGTTGAAGCTATCAATTTTATCTCCTAATGCAATTAGGTTGTTCAGTTCTGGCTCAATGCAGCGGAATATTTTAATCATCATTTGGCGGATCATATCTTTCCTGTTCAGAAAACATACAAAATGTAGAAAGTCACCTTTAAGTTTAATCCACCGAGTAGATATAAAATGACCAAATATCACAATTAAATTTCCATTGAATATGTCTAAATATGACGAACTAATTATTCTATAGCAGTTTTGATATAAAAATATTGTACTAAAGTCTTATCACTCACATTAGCTTTATGTCATTTGTAAAGCCGGGTCCTGAAATGTGCCTTGTGAATTCTAACAAACACACTGCAATTCAAAGGTTATCTCCTACCAGTGAACATCACAATTGATTGCATTTTTTGTGATTACTGGAATAAAGAAGAGTTGAAAAGCCAGAAAAATAGGACCAATTTTAATTCAGTAAAATGTTCAGTAAGACAATGGACACATATGTCAGCGTTCTGAGTACTGTCAGGTTACTGAGAATTATCTGGACCCCTCAATGAGCAGCACTCCTCTGTGCTGAAATTTAAAGTTGATTTTTTTTCCCAGAATAAACAATAGATAATAACAAACACATACTCAGACGAAACAGGCAGTGGTACACCAGAATTATGTTGCCGTGGTGTTCCCCCATCCAGGTCCTCTGGTTCAGTCTGTAAAAATTATTCAGGCACTTTACATAATAAAAGACCAACAATTTGACTAGTTTATATAGCAAAAGTCTGCTCAGTCTTAAAATTCCTAGGAGAGAGTACATTGTGAAAAATGATGATTTTTAAAGGTGGATTACTGATAAAGCTAGCTATATAATTTAGTGTGTTATTTAAGAATGCTTATGAAATGCCTTGTTCTTAGATTTTATCTGAGAATTTTTGTGGGGTGAGAAGTTGGGTTAGTGTGCATGTAGTGAGGGGAAGGAGGGGGCAGGAGGCTGGGAGGGGGGTGGGGATATGGGAATGAGAAGGCAATTCAACAAAAAAATAGAAAATACCCAAAAACAACTTTCAAAAGAGAACTTAAAAAATTAAGGAAATCTCATCAATCATTCTAATAAAACATCGGCATTTAAAAAAATGCTATCGAAAATTCTTATAGAAGCCCACACGTCAGCAAATTTGCCACCAATATCACCAGTGACAAAGACAAACTCCAAACAATTTGAAATAACAATGAATTTCTTATTTATAACTTCTTTTTATATGTTAGTTACCATGAGGCATAAATTTTTGAGATGACCTTAATATAAAAATGACTCTATTTGCATTGTGCTTTAAAGTTCTTCAAAATATTCTGGAAAATCTCTCATTTTATTCTCTTACATTTATGCCACCTAAAAGGCATGCTGAATAAGCATTATTATATCCACTTTACAGAAAAAATGTAATTAGTTTAAGATCTCATAGCCAGTTAGTAACAAAGCCATAAGAAAGATTCAGATTCAGATCTGAGGTCTTTCTTTTCTTTTCTTTTTTTTGCTATACTGTGGTATACACACTCAAATATCATTTTTTTTCAATTATATTTTTTCTTGATAACTACTAAAATGTTAAAATTGCTTTTTAAATAATGTTCTTTGCAAAGTAAACTCAGACATTTTTTTCACCTCACTAATTTAGAAAATGTTTAGGTTTATGACATTCTGAAATATTAATTATTAATAGCTGCCCAAACTT